GTGACAGGGTACGGAGCCCCAACCCCCCTGATGGGCCCTGCTCTGTGCGTGACAGGGGGTGGCGCCGCAACCTCCCCATCGACCCTGCCTTGAGTGTGACAGGGGGCAGTGCCCCAACCCCCCAGTCGGCCCTACCCTGAGCGTGACTGAGGGTGGCATCGCAACCTCCCGATCCGCCCTGCTCTGTGCATGACGGGGCGGCGCCCCAACTCCCCAATCGGCCCTGCTCTGAGCCTGACCAGGGGCTGCACTTAGGGATTGGGCCTGCCCTCTGCCACCCGGGAGCAGGCCTAAGCCAGCAGGTCGTTATCTCCCGAGGGGTCCCAGACTGCGAGAGGGCACAGGCTGGGCTGGGGGACCCCCCCCTCCCCCGCCCCCCGAGTGCACAAATTTTTGTGCACTGGGCCTCTAGTCTACACTAATAAGGGAGAAAGATGCAAATTGACTGTACCTTCGTGATGCCCAACAGCCAATCAGGCGTGAGTATGCAAATTAACTCAACAAAGATGGTGGGTTAATTTGCACCCACAGGTGCCGAGCAGCCGGGTGTAGGTTGGGACGCTTGCGTTGTCGCTGTGCCAGCAAAGCTGTGGAGGCCATTTACCCGATATGCTACTCCATACATAACCCTATACTGTATACTTTATGAATCAATAAAAAGTTTACAATTTTTAATTATAAGCCTGTGTTTTCTATCAAAATTACTTCTTGCGTGAATTTTGGGACACCCTTCAGTTCTATTTTTAATTTTTTCTTTTCTTTTTAAAAAAATATATTTTTATTGATTTCAGAGAGGAAGGGAGAGGGAGAGAGAGATAGAAACATCAATGATGAGAGGGAATCATTGATTGGCTGCCTCCTGGCACACCCCACCCTGGGGATCAATCCCGCATATGCCTTGACTGGAATCAAACCCTGAACTCCTGGGTTCATAGGTCGATGCTCAACCACTGGGCCACACCGGCCTGGCTATTTTTAAATTTTGAGGAAAGACTAAAATTAATTTTAGAAGTCCAGAGTACAGTACTTGAACTTGTATGTGTGTTTAATATATTTTCTGCCTTTGCTTTTGGTGTTTTTGTTAGTGTGTTGGCAAATACAAATTATCAAATAGATCATAACATGTATCTCTTTTATGTTTGAGATTATCAAGCATTAGTCAAAGAGTTGATGAAATATGTCCATTTGGAAACCCTGTGTTCAGACAACATTTTTATCAGTGAGAAAATGAAGTTTCTCTGAGTTATCTTTGGTATAGCAATTTGGTGTATATAATTCTAAAGATGAAGATGATAACATTTAAGTCTAACTTTGTTGTAACGTGAGTTTATCTTCAAAGTATTAGAGTAAATCCTTTTAAGGGAATTATAAACATATATAGAAGCTGATATACATTATTGCAGAACATATCTGTGGTAGCATTACTCAATAAGTCCCTTATGTTGTTATTTTCCCATTGTGAGTTTGAGTAAACAGAGTCACATTTAATAATCTTCCCTTTTCCTAGCACTCCCCTTTCTTCCTCTTAGGGTATACTCTTGTTCTTTGAAAACTCCACTTTCTGTTCCCCGCTTTCCTTTCAGGTTAAATGCTTCTGCTCTGTTTTTCTTAAATAACTATGCTTGATTATCCTAGCACTTAGCATACTGTAATACTTTACTAAAGTTCTGTGAATTCACCTCAGTTGAGCCTCAATGAGTCTCTGTATAGAGAATGTGATATGTACTAGGCATAAAATACATAACCTTTTAAATGAAAAAAAAAAGAAAGCTACTCATTTGCCACTGTAATAACTACCCTTTCAATCTACATTAATAAAAGACAAACATGCAAATTGACCATACCTTTGCTACGCCTTAAGCCATGCCCACCAGCCAATCAGAGCGACTATATGCAAATTAACCCAACCAAGATGGCGGCCGGCAGCCATGGAGCTGGAGCAAGCAGGAGGCTTGGTTGCCCCAGTGATGGAGGAAGCCAAGCTTCCCGCCTGCCGTGGCCGGCTCTGAGCTCCACTCAAGGCAACAAAGTTTCAATTATAGAAGGTAAATAAACTCCAGATACCTGCTTTCAGCCGGCCATGACCACCGAGCTGGAGTGAGCAGGAGGCTTGGGTTGCCCCTGGCTATGGAGGAAGCCAAGCTTCCCGCCCGCCCTGGCCAGCTCTGAGCTCTCCTCAAGGGTACAAAGTTTCAATTATAGAAGGTAAATAAATCCCAGATACCTGCTTTCAGCCGGCCATGACCACCGAGCTGGAGTGAGCAGGAGGCTTGGGTTGCCCCTGGCTATGGAGGAAGCCAAGCTTCCCGCCCGCCCTGGCCAGCTCTGAGCTCTCCTCAAGGGTACAAAGTTTCAATTATAGAAGGTAAATAAACTCCAGATACCTGCTTTCAGCCGGCCATGACCACCGAGCTGGAGTGAGCAGGAGGCTTGGGTTGCCCCTGGCTATGGAGGAAGCCAAGCTTCCCGCCCGCCCTGGCCAGCTCTGAGCTCTCCTCAAGGGTACAAAGTTTCAATTATAGAAGGTAAATAAACTCCAGATACCTGCTTTCAGCCGGCCATGACCACCGAGCTGGAGTGAGCAGGAGGCTTGGGTTGCCCCTGGCTATGGAGGAAGCCAAGCTTCCCGCCCGCCCTGGCCAGCTCTGAGCTCTCCTCAAGGGTACAAAGTTTCAATTATAGAAGGTAAATAAACTCCAGATACCTGCTTTCAGCCGGCCATGACCACCGAGCTGGAGTGAGCAGGAGGCTTGGGTTGCCCCTGGCTATGGAGGAAGCCAAGCTTCCCGCCCGCCCTGGCCAGCTCTGAGCTCTCCTCAAGGGTACAAAGTTTCAATTATAGAAGGTAAATAAACTCCAGATACCTGCTTTCAGCCGGCCATGACCACCGAGCTGGAGTGAGCAGGAGGCTTGGGTTGCCCCTGGCTATGGAGGAAGCCAAGCTTCCCGCCCGCCCTGGCCAGCTCTGAGCTCTCCTCAAGGGTACAAAGTTTCAATTATAGAAGGTAAATAAACTCCAGATACCTGCTTTCAGCCGGCCATGACCACCGAGCTGGAGTGAGCAGGAGGCTTGGGTTGCCCCTGGCTATGGAGGAAGCCAAGCTTCCCGCCCGCCCTGGCCAGCTCTGAGCTCTCCTCAAGGGTACAAAGTTTCAATTATAGAAGGTAAATAAATCCCAGAATAAGAAGAAAAAAGAAATCCCAGACTGCAAGAGGGCATAGGCTGGGCTGAGGGACCCCCCTGAGTGTACCCCCCTGGGCCTTTAGATTATTAGTAATTTTATAAAATACACAACATAAAACTTACATCTTTTAAATGTACTGTTAAGTGCATCCACATTGTTGTGCAACTAGTCTCAGGAACTCTTTTTCATCTTGCAGAACTAATACTTCACCTGTTAAACAACAATTCCTCCTTTTCTTTCCTTAGCCCCTGGCAACCACCATTCTTTCTGTCTCTGAGTTTGACTACTCTAGGTACCTCATACAAATGGAATCATATAGTATTTGTGGTTTTTTGTCTTATTTCATTTAACATAATGTCCTCATGATTTATCCATGTTGTAACAAGTGTCAGAATTTCTTTTCTTTTTAAGGCTGATTAATACTGCATTGTATGCTTTTACCACATTTTGTTTATTATTCATATATCTGGACATTTGTGATGCTTCCCTTTTTTGGCTATTGTGAATAATGCTGCAGTGAACATGGATGTAAAACTGCCATTTTTTGACATTGACTTTTTATTTTTAGATGGGCACTCTGGTTTTTTAAAAATGATAAAAGCAAAACGTGGCAAGCAAACCTTCGGCTGATCTCTGAGTTTGATACTGTTGAAGACTTTTGGGCGTAAGTAACCCATTCATTTTAGGATGTTTGTTGTTTTATTAGTATGTAATTTTAAGTCACATTTACAAACTGAAGGTTAAAGTGAAAAGTTAATAAATATTCGTCTATACAACTACCTTTTTGTTTGTCTCCTCACAACTGTTTGAATTGGTGATTATTCCTTACCAGTTTTAGAACGCTTCAGTCTTGTAATCTTTTAGCCTTTCATGTTCTTTATTCCTTGTTTTGAGAGATCCTTTGCTTTACTACCCCTAGAACTTTTGACAACTTGTTGGAACTTGTCCCCTTTCTTGGATGCCTGGATACATTTGCCCCATACTTGGGTATTCCAGAGCTTTGTTATTAGATCTTCATTTCTGTAAATTATTTCAGTGTAACATCTGGGATTTCTTGTTATAAGAATTCTGAGGCCCTGGCCGGGTAGCTCAGTTGGTTAGAATGTTGTCTGCATATGCCAAGGTTCCAAGTTCAATTCCCAGTCAGGGCACATACAAGAAGCAATCAATGAGTACATAAATAAGTGGAACAAGCCCTAGCCGGTTTGGCTCAGTGGCTAGAGCATCAGCCTGTGGCTGAAAGGGTCCCAGGTTCGATTCTGGTCAAGGTCAACCCACTGGCCCCCCCCCCCCCCAAAAAAAGTGGAACAACAAATCTCCCTCCCCCCTCTAAAACGTCAATCAATAAATAAAAAGAATTCTGAGATTTCAAAGGCTGAAGTGCTAAATATTTAGGATTTGTCAAAGAAGGACAGTATCTGTGAAGATTATTTATAAATGTCCTCACCTCCAAAAAATAGTTGAACATTTTTTTGAGATCTTGTTTTAGATTTAGCAAAAGTTAAGATTGGGGGTCATAAACTTGTGCATGGCTTCAAAATAAAATACAGTGGAACCTAGTTTCTAGAATGTCTCCCATCTTGAACAATTTGCTTCTCAACCTGACAACCCTTTTATGCTGATACCTGTGTGATCAGTCATGCATCTCTCAGGTTACAAAGAACATGTGAATATGAGTCAGTTTACCACTGTTAAAATCTCAGAATATTGTGCTGTGAATATTTTTATGTTTTTTTTCTTTTGTTGATGCTTATAATTGTTAAATTTTCATTTTACATTTCATGTCCTTTAAAAAAAA